TGGAGAGAGGGAGTCCCTGTAAGTGTATTCCAGACCAGGCTGAGCTCCAGAGAGGGTTAAGATGCCTTGAAAGTGTCGTCCCAAGACCAACCCAGGACCCTTGGCTCCTGCTGGGTTGTTTCATTAGATAGAGGCTTTTAAATGAACAAGACAGAGACAGTGCCTGCTTCATGCCTAAAAACGCTGTGTTCAACGCAGAGGCCTGGCATGGGACCTGTCAGGGACTTCCTCCATGCCTTGTTTTGCTTTTCTGAGATAGGATGGGGCCTCAAACTTGTGATCTTTCTGCCTCAGTCTCACAGATGCTGGGTCACAAGAATGTGCTACTCTGCAAGCTCATACATTCTTTTTTAAAAAAATACTTAACCTTTTTCAGATGTTTCCTTTTTCTAGGAGGAAGGACTGTTTTGTGCTCGGGCTTCGGTGTCACCCCAGCAGTTTGAGTTGGTCTTGCACCAAGCGTCTGGGAGACCCCTGGCAGAGCCTGGCCCACTGCCCACACAGGGTGTCTATTCAGAGGCCGGCGAGCCCATTTTTGAGCGGCTTGCTTCTCTAAGGGGCCAGGACACTACACAGAGGTGTCGGGGGCTGGGGGCCTTCGAACTACTTTCTGAAGTCATTTTTGAGGTTCAGCGGGAGAGGAGTCTGGGCACTTTTTCTGTCCTGACCCCGATGTGCCGCTGCCAGACGGACTCTCCCGACTCTGGCTGGGGGAGAGCGCGGCCACTCCGGCCCCTCCCAGGTGGCCCTCAGCCCCACCCCTGCCAGCGCCAGCCATCTGCAGCCTCGGCTAACCGGGAATGGCAGAGCCCTGCAGTTTGCAGCCTTGACATGAAGCTGATCCCCTGCCCAGCTCTGAGAGTGGGCACCGTGCGTCCAAAGGGCAGTTTTGGTTTTGCCAATCTTAATGTGGAAAGAGAAATTATAGCTCAATCGGTGTGATTTACGATCAGACTTACTTCCAGCCAAAGTGACTTATTTACCTGCCATCTTTCATATTCTTTTATTCCCCAAAGGTCATAATGAATCATCTGCTGTTTTCTTTTCTACATATATATAGAATTCAGCACTTTATGTGGATAGTGAGTCACTGGTTCGAGCCCTTCAAGAACTGCCCCTCTCACTCCGTCTCAACGTTGCTGCCGAGCTGGTCCAGGTAAACGGCCCCTCTCCGGCCCCAGGTATCTGCAGCCCAGCCTGAAGCCCAAGGGAGGGGTGCGAGTCCGCCTGGGCATTCCTTCCAGTAAAGCTGAGCATTCTGTATTCAGGCATCATCTTCTCAACTTCAGAGAACAGAGTAAATTTTGGAAGTGGCTCTTTTGTATTTTATGTGAGACATTTTACAGAATCAAATGCAATAGAATTGGAGTACAAAGTCTGGGTATTAATTTGCTCACAATCCTTATGTGCAAGTGTGTGCACGGGTGCCAGGCAGTGGAGGAGGGAGGCGTCAGCCGGTCCCGTGAGTGGTGCAGCAGCCTGCCCTGGGGCACGAGGGTGAAGACCTGGGCTTTACCAGCTGTTTTGAAGGGTGCTGGAGGGAGGGCAGTCACAGAGAATCCTCCCTCTTCTTCCCAGTGTGCATCTCTGATTGCTAAGCAAGATTCCAGACACCCACCGTGGACTGGTTAAAAGCTCTGGGATTAGGTAGAGCACCACACCCCAGTTTTGTCCAGTTCACATCTGTAAACCTTTGAGGTCTGTCCAGGGTGCTGGGAAGTACAGACGGGTTGGTGGCCCCAGAAGAGATGGATGGTTTTTCTGCACTTACCCCACACGAGGCCTCCTCCAGAAAGGCTGTCCTCCTTTCCACAGAAAGGGAAGATGTAGCGTGCTTATAACCAGGCGTCAGCCCCCGGAAGAGGCCCTCACAGCTCCAAAAGACAACCTGTCCTCATGTCTAATGCTGTAGTTTTACCCATTTCTGCGTTTTCAAAAAGTGAAATCAGGTTGTTTGCTTTCGAGTCTGGCACTGTGTAATCCAACAGTATGGCCGCATCCTCTTTCCTTCTTGGGGATTTACACTTACCCGAGTGCTTTCAAAGGCAATGAGCAGGTCTGCTCTGCTCATTTCTTTGTGGCACCTTCTACGATGCCCATGTCTCCTGACAGATTCAGTAGAGCTGTGGCGTGGTTGGTGTTGAGGCCAGTGGCAGGCAGACACCCCAGTGTTTGTGAGGGCCCCGGGCATCTCCCTGGGAGGCTGTCTGAGAACCAATGTCTAGATTCAGCTTCCCACCCGTCACAGCTGGCGGCTCCCTGGACCTCCCTGTTTATGCCACTGTATCGCGATTCCATTTGAAACCTGATTCTTACACTTCTCTTTCAGGCTACAGTTCCTTTAGAGCTTCCTCAAGTGAAACCAAAGAGGAAGGACGATGGCAAGGGAGCAGGGATGCAATTACGGGGCTCGCTCTCTGAGCTGAGGGCCTCTGCTGCTGGCGGTCCCAGGCCCCGGCCCCAGGGCAACGATGGCCCCCAGCTGGGCCCCTCGGGGGCATCGCAGCCAGCGGCAGGCTGCCTGGAAGAGGAGCTAGACCTGCTGCTCAGTTTAGATGCGCCAGTCAGCGCAGGAGGGAGCATCCCGCCGGGCCAGACCTCGCAGGACCTGAGATCTGAGGAAGGGGAGGAGGCCCGGAAGGAGACAGGTAGGTCTCATCCCCCCCCCCGCCCCTGCCTTCGTGGTTCTGACATGCCGTCCGTCTGCACACCCCTGTCTGGGTCTGGCATCAGTCCAGTGCTCATGTCTCTGCTCCTGTGAGCTGACCTTCCTGCTCACTGGATAGCCTGCTACCTGCCCAACTGCAGTATTCAACCTGGAGCTGAAGGTTGTACTTCTGCCATAAGAAGCTTTGAGATACTTGCAGCCCTTTGTTTTTCAGCAGATGACCTTTTAATCCACCAAGCAGGCTGTACACCAGCTGCTTGTGCTGCTTTCTTGGTATAACAGACAACATTAATACGTGCATGCTCTGTGAATCGGTGGGCCACAGGCAATCACCACAGCTAACGCAAGGGTTAATGATGCCCCAGGACCACTGCAAGAGTAGAAAGAACAGGGAGCTGTTGGTCTTTCCACAGGAAGCTTCAGGAAAGAAGAGCCACCCTCTGCCGCACTTCGTGTTTTGTCTGGCTATTACCCGTGTCACTTGAGGGTTACCGTGATAGAGTAATAATTCGGGCTGAATTATACCTGAAGCTAACGCTGGGGAGCATTAGCTCTCGGTGTTGGGACTAATGTGAGGTTGCTCACAAGTACGGCTTTCATCCCCTGCTTCCTGCAGAACCATCTGTGACTGGAGAAAAGAACGCAGACTCTGAGCAGGCAGCTACCCCAAGAAACGTTACTGAGGAAGAGCTGGAAGACTGGCTGGACAGCATGATCTCCTGAGGGATCAGGACGCAAGCGAGGCACAGGCTGCCCCTCAGGACCAGCTGCTGCTCCTTGGAGGCGGAGGAGCGAGTGTGTGAGGCGTGCGGCTTTGTTTCCTGACAGGCGGGATGTCCCAGCATAGCCAGTGCTGCTTACTGAGAGATCGCACACAAAAAACAGGCATGAATGTGGCCACAATAAACACCCTCTGGTTTGTGGACCTTGTTCTTTGTGCCTCCTGTCCCCGTGCCCGCGGTCACCGGAAGTGGTGCGCAGGAGGCTGCTCTGAGTGGTACGTATGACTTTATTGCAGTGGGCACTTCACTTTGAGGAGATTCCACTACTTACAGGGACCATAAAGCACTACTCAATTTTGGCATGAGATTGAGAGTTGTCTGAATTTTCAGTACAGTATTTTTCTTCTAATAACAGCAGTTCAATAAGCTGTTACTGAAAAGAAAATGTATGAATAACCTTCAAGTACAGTTTCATAAAGTAAGAGAGATCAACACGACTATTCAGTGGAACTGTCCTTCTAGAACACAAACATAAAAAACTTGCATAGCTGTATCTAAAGAGGTTTTAAGGCACTTATCGATATTTCACTGTCGACAAAGTGTGGGTTTTCTATTGAACTGCTTAAAAACACTGTTAAGCTGGTTTTGGATACAGTCCCTGGCAAGTACCTTGGGAAAAACTGGACTGTCATTCCCACGGTCTTTTGTAGGTAACTATGGGCGACTTCGGCATGGGAGTTCAATGTTCTGCAGTCAGGACTTCCTCTGGCCCTTTCCTCCACACTGCAGTCCTAACACACTGGTCTCACGAGAGCTGAAAACCTTGAAGGCCTTCAGGTAGCGATCGCTCACATTTTCCTTCAGCGCCTTGACAGGTTATTGCACACAGGCTGTGTCTTTTGCACCGTCATGGATTGTGAACACACACTTCGTTGTGAGGCTGGAAGGGTCACACGTGGATGCGCTGGGCAGCGGTGCGGGGAGGGTTCCATTTTCCTGGAGGGGCTGTGCCGTGCCGCCGTGCTGCCTTCATCCCCTTCTACGCAAGCTGGTCTTCGTATTGCTTACGAAAGCAGTCGCCAGCTGGGAAGAAGTCCCAGCACCTCTCCTGGTACATCTTCCACACGTACGACTCCTGAAAACAGTGTGAGCACAGCCGGTAAGCTAGCCAGCTTGTTTTTGCTGGATGTGGCTCTGCTTAGGAAGGAAAGAGAGGTGACCTTTTGTATGGAGGCCACCACGCATCTTCCACTCTCCTCCTCTCCCCCACTTACCTCAGCCTTTGCCTTTCCCCTCACTAACCCCCTCCACACACTCCTTCCCTCTCCCACGTCGCCATTTTAGACTCTCTGCTCTCCCCTCCTCCTACCCACCTTCCTCTTTACAACTTCCAGTGCTCACGTACCCTTTCTCTCCATCTTTAATCTCCTCTTGTTCATGTCCTCTCGACTTTCCCTCCTCCCTGTCCTCTTTACCACACCTTTTCCTTCTCCTCTGTCTCCTACCATTCCTCACCTCTCCAGCTCCTGCTTTCCCAGTTTCCTCTCCTCACCAGCTCCGTCATCTCCTACCACGCCATTCTGTCTCTTCACCTTCCCTCTCCTCTCACACTCCTTGCCAGTCTCTCCCTTTCCACTTCCCAGTCTCCTTCCTCTTCTCTCGCAGCCTCCTCTGCTCTCCTCAGCCCTTTCCTTCTCCTCTCTACGGCTCCTCTGCTCAGGCTGCTCTCCCTCGGTGGTGTGTGTTCACCTCCCCTCGTCTCCCCTGCTGCTGCCACGCAACCCTGCCCCCCCCCCTTCAAACTCCACTGTCCCGTCTCCTCTGAGTCTGCCGCTCCTCCATCTCCTGTCAACTTCCGTTCCTTCTGCACAGTCGCCTCCCCGCCGCCCTTTCCTCTTGCCTCACTCTCTTGTCTTTTTCCTCCTATCTTCTCTGCTCCCAGTCCTATGTGGTCTGTGGCTACTGCGCCCTCTCTCCACTCCATTCTCTCCTCACCCCTTCCCTCTGCAGGGTCTGATCTTCCCCTTACCACCTCTGCCTCACCTCCCTTCTACTCTTTGGGACAATCTTCTTCTCCTCCTTCTCTCCTTCCCCTCTTCAATCTCTCACCACTCACGTTCCTCCACTCTCTACCCTCTTTCTTCTTGTCTGTCTGCTCTCCCCGTTCCTCTCTTCACCTTCTCCTGTTCCTCATCTCCCCTCCAGTCTTACCCCTCCCATTCTGCTGTTCCCTCCCCTGCACAATCCCCAGTCCAATGCCTTCTCTCTGCTCTCCTTGCTCTCTCCTCTAGACACCCGCCTCCCTTGTCCCCCTCTGCTGAGGCTCTCTTCTCCCTAATCCTCTCAACTCTGCATCTCTCCTTTTCAACTGTATAGTGTCTTCTCCTCTCACCTTACTCTCTGCCCTTCACCTCCTCTCTCCCCTCTTCCTTTATTCTTTACAGTTTGCTCTCTTCCCCATCCTCTCCCTCCCCGGTCTTCTTGTCGGTCTACAGCCCCCTTTTCTGTCTCCCCCCCCCTCTCCTCGACTGTCATCTCCCCTTCCATTCTCTTGCCTCCTCCCCTTCCATTCTCTTGCCTCTCAGGTGTTATGTGCACTCCTTAGTTTCAAGGCTGAACAACCACAGAATGTGACACATGTCTGTTTTGCAGTTAAGGCATTTTTTTTTCCTTACCTGACCCGTGTGCTCTGTTTCATCCTTATTAATTAAATACATCAGAAAGAACCTGGAACAAAGAGGAAAAAAATAGTACTAGATACTTCTCAGATGAACTGAAACAAGGTTCAAAAACCGTATGATACCCTTAAGAACAGGGGAGCATTTCTACTAGATGTGTCTATTTCAAAACCAGAGTCTGCCTGTGGGTAGACCAGACCGACCCTTCTTGGAATGAACAGTAACTCAAAAAAGTAGAGAGCTTTTAATCTCATTAAGTCACTCTTATTCTTCCAGATAGAACATTTTGTTTTGGAGGACAGGGGAGTGAAGGTGTGGTGTTGTGGGAGTCTGCCTGTGACACAGGTGTACCGGGGGCCACGGTCACAGCTCCCACTCACAGACTCAGAGACTGCTTCCTGAGGAGGTGGTGGTGTGCCCTTCAGGGGAGGACTGCGTGGCCAGAAGAGACAGCCGGGGCTCTCCAGGCCCACCACGGCTCTACATTTGTTAGTCTCCCCCTCTAGTTCAAGAATGAGAAAGAAGGCAGGACCAGAATCTTGATCATATTTGTCCTAAGTCACAGAACATGGATTCCTCTCCTGGCCTGCCTTTTACATAATCACCAGGAAGGTCAAGTGAGAGTCACGGGGTCCTGTCACAAGCTGGCTGCTAAGGGAGGTCCCAACCCAGAGGACGGGCGCCCAGGCACTGGCACACGACACACCCGTCCCTCCTGAAGGGCCGGCGGCTGCTCCCTGGACTGACGAGACGTAATGGTGGTGAACACTCCTGGCTGAAGAGAATGTTACAGACACCGCTGGAAGCGGTCTGAATCTAGCAGAAACGCCCAGCCTGGCCACTGTTCTTTGATGACACCAACTTAATACTAAAGAGCAGAGCATATACCCACATATCCTGTAAATTCCATAAGTTCCACAGGAAGCTCAGAGTACAGGACAGGCTCAGAAAACTTCCTGCACAAATGCTTCCCCTAAAAAGACGAAATATTTGCTGTTTATCTACCAGCGGCCACACTGCTGCTTCAACAATGCAGTGTGAAAATACATCCAGAAATACCCCCGGATGGTAGCTAGGACCCTGCTCCGGCAGGAGGTGGTCTGAGGCCAGTTCAGCAGCACGCGGGCAGACCCTTGTCACGGCCACCTGGGGAGCAGGGCCTTTTATAGATGGGTCACAGAGCTGAAAGAGGAGGGGAGGACTCCACCCAGACCCCCCCTTTGGTAACCAGAACACTCACAAGTAGTTGGCTAGGTTGTGCTCTTGTAATGTGTGTGTTTCAAAACCATGAGGAGTCGTATCAAAGTAGTCATTGCCAATGCCACAGATGAAACATTTAGTCTATAAAAAATGAGAAGCAGGAAAGGAATCAGCCATACCAGCGCGGCAGGAGGAAAAGGGTGCCGGTCTACGCACTAGGGGTGACAAGTGTTTTCCTCTTGAATCAGTCACTCACTCCAGAGTCACCCCTCACTCCTGGCCTCGGGAGGGCACCGGAAGGAGGCCGCGGCCGAGCAGGCCTGAGCCGGTGCAGGGCAGCGGGACCCAACCCTGGTCAGGAAAGGCAAGGTGACATGCACAGAAAGCAAAGACTGCTCAGCTTTCTAGCTGGTGTCCTGTTTGTAGCCATGTGTACTCTTTAGGAAATCCGGATAGCCGTGGTGTTAGACTGAGCAGGGAACTTTACCTCCATGTCTTCGCGAACTTGTTCCTGCTGGTCTCTCAGCTCTCCAAACGCGTCGATGATGAGACCTGAGATTGCAAGCACAGATAGATAAAGCACCGTAATGGGCTCAGTGGTCCCTGGGTAGAGGAACTGCCTGACTGGCCCACTGTAAAGCAGAATTAGGTAAACACAAAGAGCCTCTGAGCCAGGCACCAGTGGCTCACACCTGTCATCCTAGCTACTCAGGAGACTGAGATCTGAGGATCACGGTTCAAAGCCAGCCTGGGCAGGAAAGTCCGTGAGACTCTTATCTCCAGTGATCCCCCAGAAAACTGGAAGTGGTGCTGTGACTCAAGCAGCAGAGCGCTCGCCTTGAGCTGAGGGACAGCGCCCAGGCCCAGAGTTCAAGCCCCACAACTGACAAAAAAAAAAAAAAAAGGGGAGGGGGTTTGTATCCTCTAGTACTGACTCCTGACTTGACTCCTCCTGCTCACTCCAGTGCACGACCAGTCTCCACTCAGCCCCCCTCCTGTGCTGCTCAGCTGTCTGTCGTCAGTCTCTGTGATACATAGGCTCTTCCTAGTCTCCTGACCCCTCAGGCTTCCCTGGGCCCAGGCTCTTCCTCCCGGTTTTCACTTCTTAGCCCTCAACACCCCCCTGTCTTCCCAGCATCTCAACCCAAGGTGACTGCGTCAAAGCTCATCATTTGTCTCCATTTCCTGGCCTCTCCCCCAAACATTAGAAAACATGTCACATTCTCCTATTCTCCCCACTGCCTGGGAGACCAAGACAGGAAGGGCTCCGAGGCCCGCAAGGTGACCGGTCCAAGTCGAGGTGGAAGGAAGCGGCCGTGTGGGTTCTCAGGCTTCCCGAACCCGTGTCTGGGTCCACGTGGCTTTGTGCAACAGTAGATGCTCAATAAATGTTTTCCAAATTAGCGAGTAAGTGACCTCACAAACTTGTCTGTGGAACAGTTAGGCCACAGACACAGAAGAGCGTACTTAATTGGCAGCCATACCTTGAATGATGGCCAGCAGGATGACAATGACAAAGAAGAAAAAGGTAATGTCGAAGATAATGCGGTACATTTCATAAGGGTCGCCAGCGGGGTCTTCGATTTCATCGCCGATGCCGCCCCCTGCTCGTACTCCCACGTACATGTGGAAAAGGTAACACTGGGGGAAAAACACAGCGAGTGAGGGGCACGGGTGTGCAGCACCACGGTCAGACTCTCCAGTGGCTCTGGGGCTCTGACCCCGGAGCCCGGGCCTGCGGGGTCAGCAGTGTCCACATCAATCGCTGACCTCTGCTTCTCTGCTTAGTTTGAGGTCTACGAAGACAGGAAGATTATGGTTAAAAACTGTTCATGGCAGGTCTCTAGTCATTAAGAGCGCGTTAGGCCTGGCGGAGATGGCACATGCCAGACCCTGCCTTTACTAGTTCCAAGAGTGCTGGCCTGCTTTTCAGGCTGTGCTGTAAACTGAGGCAGAGCTCTGTCCACTCCTGCATTCCCTGTGTACACGGCAGGGCTTCCACTCAGACTCCCGGGGAGCGTCCCGATGCTCCCACGTCTGCGATCCCTCTGCCGACACCACACGGATGCAGTCACAGAGCGGTGCTGCGGAAGACCGCGGGCAGACGGTCGTGTCAGACTCCTCGTTCCCAAGAAGCCTCGTCAGGCCCGCGAAGCCATTCCAACTCGGAAGCCTCGTCAGGCCCGCGAAGCCATTCCAACTTGGAAGCCTCGTCAGGCCTGGGAAGCCATTCCAACTCGGAAGCCTCGTCAGGCCTGGGAAGCCATTCCAACTCGGAAGCCTCGTCAGGCCCGCGAAGCCATTCCAACTCGGAAGCCTCGTCAGGCCCGCGAAGCCATTCCAACTCGGAAGCCTCGTCAGGCCTGGGAAACCATTCCAACTCGGAAGCAGTGGGATTCAAAATAACGGGGACAGTGCACCTAGCACACGTTCTCCAGCAGTGGTCAGTGCCGGCTTGGGGCTCAGGGTCAGCAGTGGTCAGTACCGGCTTGGGGCTCAGGGTCAGCAGCGGTCAGTGCTGGGCTTGGGGCTCAGGGTCAGCAGCGGTCAGTGCTGGGCTTGGGGCTCAGGGTCAGCAGCGGTCAGTGCCGGCTTGGGGCTCAGGGTCAGCAGGAGGGCACTGCCCTCTCGCCGAGCGGCAGGGCTGTGGAGAAGCCCGCAGCCAGGCCCCGGTCCCTGCTGTCTCCTGGAAGGCTGGAGAGAACTCATTCCTGGCCTACCTCCTCCTGAGGTCAGGTCCTGATAGAGTTGAGGGGTGCTGCTGCAGGGCGCCCTGGGCCTGACCGCACCCGCCCAGCTCCACTCCCTGAGGCCCGGCTGCAGCCCTGTGTGCTCTGAGAGAACCCACTGGCTGGCTGAAGTGATGAAAATGTAGTTGGGCCTCATGACAGATGACCTCCTGTGGGTTCTTCCTTCCCTCCCAGCCTCCACATAAACCACAGAAATCCTGTCTGTCTCTCTGCTCTCTCAGGTGGACGTGCTCGGGGCTGTGTGTCTCC